GGGGGGGGGAGGCGCGTTACAGGGAAAGGAACTGTGATTTACGTGTTGGACGTGAATGTATGTGCGTGTACATATAGATATATAGATATATATATATATATATATATACGGAAGAGGGCAGTATAATAGCAAACGAGACTAACACAACGCCAGATCGAGACCGCTGTCTTGAGATGGCCTCCTAGGACTAGGGCTGGCGGGTCGCAAGAAAAGCCTCTCGTCTTGTCTTCTCGCTTCGAGTCGATTCAATTCTTCTGCGATCGCCGTGTGACCGTTCTCCGCCGCTAACTCGGTCGCTGTTCTGTTCTGACAATCCCTCACGCGAAGCGCCATTGCGTTCCATCTGTGCAGATAGACAGACATTCGCAACACGTTCCCAGACAAATCGGAGTACAGACTGTGTCGTGAAATTCCGCGATACTCCGTCCTCGTGCGAGTTTCAAGAAAACGATGTACGAACCTATAGAGGATTCTGGCAGTATCCGCGTGTCCCGCTGCGCAAGCCCAAGCAAGTGGCGTAAGACCGGCACTATCCTGCCTCAGGGCATCGACTTCGGCATCTAACACGCTACTAGGATTTTCCGCTCTCCAATGAAGGAGCGCACAGGCTAACCTGGAGTAGCCCAACCCGGCGGCCAAATGTAAGAGAGTAGGGCCACCGGATTGTAATGGTTCCGCTCCAGCTCGCCACGGACGGACAACAGCATCCTGAGACACAGGTAATCTCCATTTAGACAGAGAACCAAGCACGTGTGTACAATGACTCGCGAAAGTATTTGAACACTTGCGTGCATTCGAATACTTTTGTAAACCACTGTCGATTGAAAGAGCGGGATTAGACAGACTAATACTGACTTGACAATACGCCACTAGTCGCTCTTCCAGATGAGCTGCGGGAGATGGAGGGCCAGGTCCTTGTAGACGGGACTCCACATCCGCCAAACGATCGAGAAGAGCTCGTTCTGGGCTTGGCTCGGTGGTCGGTGCCCGACGATACTCGAAAGCAACGCTATCGGAAACAACGAAGCCGTCACACGCGACCTGAAGAGACGCTATTCCCGGAGCATGAGCCGGGCAACGACATCGCAACACTCCTGGCTGTACCAAACACGCCTCGACCGGTTCAGCGTCGAACAACACCGAATAAGATTGAGAATTACTCCCACCAGTCCATGGACCGGCGACCAATACCTGTAAAAGCAATAAAATCTTCGCTCCAAACTTCACACTTATACGCACTACATTAACTTCGTTCTTAAATTTTAGCAAACAGAATCGGTCTTTGCCGATTGATTTCATTGTCAAGTAAATCAAACTCACCTTCACACCACCCTCGGTGTAACTCCACTCCGGGCTATACTCCGCAATATGGACGGTTGTTCCAGGATGACATCCCACGTCACTGTCAGACCCGCCTCTTTCTTCAGCTTTGCTTTGCTCGGCCTCGAAATCGTGAAGCTCGGGTAAATCACCGAACACGTCGAACGCGTCTAAATTAACTAGAACATCGTCCGACGAGTCGATGAAATCCATTGGATTGATCATGCTGTTGTCTGCCGGTGAAGGCGACGGCGACGGTGGAACCATGTTCGCGGATAACGTTCGCTGAATATCCTCTTGACTTAGGTCCAACGTCTCGGCGAAATCGGTGACCTCGGGACCTGTGCCACCGATCGGCAACGATTGCACCGCCGAGCGATCCATACTTTCTTGAGCGTCGATGTCTTGCTGGGTCTGTTGTTCCCTGTCCACGCTCGTCTGCTGTACGATTTGTTGCTCCGTAACCTGTTGCATCTCCACTTGTTGACTT